CATACACTACTATTCAAAAGTTAGGAATCAGTTGTCTTGTTAATCATTTTTTATTACTTTATACACAACAATAACTTGTTACAATGTTGATGTAGCCTCTTTTTAAAGGTCCCTAAGGGGAATTTAACTAATACTAATAATTTCCCAGAATTACAACTCTGTCATCAGATTAACTACAACACTGTTATCTCTGTGTGTGAAATGTTTTGACTCTGTGTTGAGCTGCAAGGGAGCAATGGGGGGTGAAATGGGAAGAGTGAGCCCCCTGCTATGAAAACAATTTACACCTCTCCACAAAGACAGCCATACTGAGACAAAACGGACAGCATATACAGTTAGATATAGTTCTAAACAATTTCATGAAAACATATTCCATCAATATTACTGAAGACAAAAAATGCATAGCTCAACTGAGAGACGTTCTCTAAACCAGGTGGAGATGGCATTCTATTGCTACTGTGAAAAAAAGGGTTAAATATTCTAAACTGTCATATACTTTTGTTTTATTCATTAGGCATTCTGAATATTAATTTAATTGTAACTTCATTCTTGATGTTATACAGTTTTCTATAACTCTGGCTAACAGTCTGGAATCATCTAAAAAAAAATAAAAAATTTCAGACTCTCAGTTTCCTAAAAATGATTTAAAACCTGTCAAGACACCAAGGACTAGTATATTAGGATCATTTTATACATTTATGTCCAGCCTAATGAAGTTTATTTTATACTGACTCCAAACTTTTGAACAATGTGTACATTTACTTTATAAACTGGCAGTACTTCAATTCAATTACATTTAGATAGCGTGCTGTACAAGAAACAGTCACAAAGCAGTTTTAGAGAAATGCAGGACCAGCTTATAGGGAACAAACCGAGGACGGCTGCAGCAGGAAAACTCCCTAACAGCCTGAGGAACCAAGACTCGAAAGGAAAATCCATCCTTTACTGAGCCACACTGGATAGTGGAGTTATGGTACAAGTTTATAAGCAAGAATAAACAGAGACATTACAAACATACAGAAGAGAAGATCTGCGAGATAAACCAGAGACCAATGTTATAACGCAGACTGCTGACTGCGTCAAATATGTGAAGGAAGTAATACGAGAGAACATACAATACTGTGCAAAAGCCAACTGAGAAAATGATATGTCTGTTGAGCAGTCAGCATTTATTTGTTTAAAAACCCACTAATTTTGTAATATAAATAAACTAAATAAATAAACAAAACCAATATATTTATTTTCTGTCTGTCAGTGTGTTAGTTTAACCATTACCAAATGTCTCCACAAGACGCCCAGCATTTACTGTTACCATCCAGCACCTAGTTCAGTCAATAAATCCTTGATTAAATTAAATCAGCTGTCCTGCTGATGGAATTTAACAAACCCATGAAATGGCTGGAGTGCAGCAAGAAGACAGGGACCAAATCTGCACTCTTCTAACTGTAATTTGGACCTAGATATTAATAACTTTTGCAAAAACAAGCAAGTCTTGTTACATTTTACTGTGTTTATGTTTGTTTGTATTTATTCTAATGTGATCTATTGTTCTACATGCAAAGAACACTCACTGCCAAAATGAATCGCTTTAAATAATTTTGACTGCTGAAGACTTTTGCACAATACTGTATCTACAGTCATATGCAAAAGTTTGAATGACCCTAAAATTGTGCTTTGTTGGTAGATCACATTTAGGGAACAAACAGAGAACAAACTTAAATACGGCATTTGTCTGCAATTTTTTGTGCTCAGCTTCTATTTATTTGCTAAGTTATAAATGCAAACAACAAAACATGCTATAACTTTTGCAGAGGCCCTATTTTATGTTTTGCTTTTTTTCCATTGTGTCAAATTCAGGAAATAAACAGTGTTTGTGCCTTAAAAAGGTAAAGAGGTTTGTTCTCTGTAATGGATTATATTTATGTTTTATCAGGTGCAGCCAAACTTTTCCATACATCTGTATATAAAAAGGGGGTTACTGGAAACAGCTGTGATATCCATAACACGTGCAAAAGCCTTAGTTAGTATCTACTTAATAGCAGTAAATGATGCTCCAGATTAGTTCTGCTCAGCTGGTCTCTTACAGTCGCTATTAAACATCCCCTGGGCCTCATCATGTCTTTTGACATTTTGTAGTCTCTCTTATTAATCCCACAGTTTCCCAAATGCTCTACATATGTTGTCCTCAGTCAATACATCAGCCTCAATCCAAATGACCCCACATTTAGGCCACACTGTAGCAGAACAGCGGGTAAACAGCTAATACCTGTAACACATGTGGGACATCTACAGTGCGGATGCTTAAAGTAAAGGAAGTGTAATTAAACGGTACTTCATTGATAAGAGCTGTCCACATGCTGTGTGTGATAATGGTGGACATGGCTGGAGTCTTTCTGTATGCATGCTGGCACCAGAGGCCACGAGCCTCAGGGCCTCAGGACTGAATGGGTCGCCTGTGTCTGTGACAGACAATGACGCTTTCATGACATTATTAGCGTTTCCAGATAGAAGCACAGCATTTGGGACGTAACCCAGCTTATCGGTTCCTAGAAAGCGCTCAATTCTTTCTGTTCGTCAGTGAAGGGTAATTGTGTTAAAAGCTGCGTTACATAATTGAGTAAATACAGTCTGCATTTTTGGATAAGGCCGGTGCGGCTGCAGTGTTCTATCATTGTGTTATTGGTGCACAACCGCAAGTCGGCTGAGTGATGACGAAGGATGGCGAGATAAAAGGGTGCAGAGAAATGCTGACCTGTGCTAGAGATTTGATATGATATGATCAGCAGAATGAGAGCATATCATGTGTTTTACAAGTGTTTTTTAAGCGTACTCTTGATGAGATCTATCAGAGAACATCAGCCCCTTGTTTTTGTGTGAGTTCAAATTTCTCTCCAAACCCAATCTGAACCACATCATCATGTTTTGAGTCCAAAACAAATAAAAATTCTATCTGAACCGATCCACCGTCACCCAAAGTGCAGAATAAACGTTAAAGAATTATGCCCATTACCATGTGGCGGCAATAATAGCCGTCTCTATATCACAGATAAATGAAACATAAAACGATACAAAAAAACCCAGCTGTCCAAAACAAGTTTAAATTCTGCTTAAGAATTTATCCATCAAATAATGCTTTTGAACGACATCTGAAATTTTAAACTTTCCATAATGTGCTGTTCTCACACTGTGCGGTGGTGATATAGTGAGACACCTGTTTAATATTAAATATTAAAATTAATACTTCATTTTAAAACTCTATTTTGCATAGCTGGTTAAAAAATATTTAAGGTAGTGAATGTAGTGAAGAATAAAGTAAGGTAAAAAAACTGAAGTAGAGGGAAATGCAGGGAAATGCAAAAAGTAGGAAGTGGGCTATGAGAACCTGGATGTGAACTTGAACTATATATTTGGGAAATGACAACCAGACTTGACCTAAGCAGCCAGGTCTCATCAGGTTTGGATAAATAATTCAAGTTCAAATTATAGTTACAGCATTGTTAGTAAGCTAACAGCTCCTCATTCCACAGGACAGGTTAGCTTCCACCTAACTGATGATTCCATGACCAGTTCGGAGGATAAAGAGTAAAAACTAATGAGTGAGGTCAACTTTGATGTTGTAGTGACCCCCTTTGGTAGCACTTTCTTTGATGGAATAAAACGCTGATACTGCCCTAACGCATTTGTCACTATGAGATGACCTGTGTGGAAATAAAGTGGAGAGTGATGTATGACCTTCAGTCCAGGATATGACGCTTCTTCTCTCTCTCTCTTTCTCTCTCTCTCTCGCACCCTGTTTTGAGGATCTTGCTATCCTGTGCTAGCCCCAATAAACAAAACTAGACACCTGTGGCATCACAGCTCTAAGCACAACCCAACATTCACCTCCAGTAACACCAAAGACAAACCAGCAAGTCACGCAAAGTGACGATGCAAAATAAACATCCAGCCAGCACCATGCAGTTCGCTGCAATCTGACTTCTACAGAAGCCACTATCACAAGAGTAGGTAAATAATGCAAATTGTGCCAGTGACAATGCTTCAGTCTGACTAAAGGATCAAATTAGATCACCAAAAAAATGCCGATGCAGACACACACACAGACGACCACATGTTGGTGAGATGGCCAGCCGTTACTCACACAGCATTCCAATCACCTAATCTCAGACGGCAGCACGTTTACAAGAAGAGAAGCAGGGCTGTTGGGGGGACAGCATCATCTCAGATGCTGTGGAAGACCCCTGGGGCTGTATTGGAGCAGGCTGTGTGATGGAGAGTCTTAAGCAATCCTGACTCACCTCCTGCATGTAACATGTGGTTTGTATACATTTGCCTGACACCGCATCCCTGGAGTGGCCATCTTGGGTCTGTCTTATAAGTCTCAGCCAGCCAGTGGTCCACCACTGCTAAGACGCAGAATTTACCTGCCATGCCCTGGCCGGCGGTAATAACGTTAACTCTACAGTATCCAGAATGTACCATTTTTTACACCGATGACTAGTGCTGTTCCTGAAAAGTCTTATGTGGACCAGTTTTCTAGGGATGTCCCGATGCATGTGGATGGAATGGACTATGAAGGGGTGAAAGCTTAGAGGTTTAGAGCTATAGTACCATCACATAAACATCAGGCAGAAGGACAATAGAATCAAAATCAAGCTTAATCGTAAATATACATTTTTTTGTCTTAACACCACACTCAACACAACTTACATCCATCAGTACAAACACAGGGAGACCTTGTGTATGTGGATACAAGGGACCATGAAAGGCATGGAAGTTTAAAGACTTAAAGTTGGGACTAAAATCTGAAACAGAATCAAGCTTATTCTCCGTTTACATCAACATGTGTAATATGTAGGAACCTGTCCTAATGTTTGGCCACAACATGCCGCATTCAATGCAATTCACATTAATATTGCACCTTGAATGAAAATACAGGGAAGACCCAGTGTATGTAGACGGCACAGGCCCTTAAACAAGCAGAAGCCCAAAGACTGGCTTACCTTGTTGGAGGCCATCTCGCTGACGGAGTGCCTGGTCTGTAGGGTCTCCAGCTGGTCCAGGCACCAGTCCAGCTCCTCCAGCGTCTCAGTGGCCAGCTTCTGGTAGGCCTCCTCTGGGGGGAGACAGGGGAGGGGGTGGTCAGTTTTGAGGCGTTTGATGGGGCTAGCCGAGGCTTCGTGCGCATCCTCCTCGTCGTACACAGCCATGTCAGGGTGTCCAGAGTGCACACATGGGTGACTCTTCATAGCTGGGAATAGAAAACTCCCCTATGAGGAATAGAAAGGGCTGAAGGATCAAATGATGATGCTGCTCCTGGCCCTGGGAGAGGGAAAAAAAAACAAAACTCCTGGCTTTAAGTCCACAGGAGTGCAGGAGTGTTCAGAGGAAAGGGCAAAAAAAGGGAGTTACGCTGGTGAAGGTCCAGCAGCATAGGGCTCCTGGTCTACAGAGCGATGGAGCGCCATGCTCTAACTACACGAAAACACAAGCATGCGCACGCAAAATCCGTTTAGAATCCTCTCTTACTTATCCCAAGCCAGATGTGTCCCTGCCTGGCGTAGCAAATCCATGTCCCGGTGCAGGATTATGGCCAGGCTCCAGCAGTGCTCCATCAGAACTTCAGTGAAGGTATGGCTCTCACCTTTCCAGCCATGCGCTTCTGCTTCAACAAAAGCAGCAGAGCCCCCTCCTCCTCCTCCATGCACCTCCTACCCTCCCCAGTCTCCAGCCAGCCCCCCCAGCCAAAGACCCACACCCCCCATATGAAGCAGTGGCAGCATACAGATGAGCTTCTCTCCAGATATCCAAGCGGATATTATACACCAAAAAAAAAATCACCCCCCCAGAAAAAAAACAGCAAATGGTGTGGTGGTGAGCCTAGCGGCACCTCAGCTACAGCAACATGACTTAGGAAAGCATTGCTTTACACAAACATAAGCGGCTTCCTGTGAAACCACAAACCTAAAAGAACTAGAGAGCACGACGCAGGGAGAGGGAGAAAATCCGGGGCGGATTTCATGGACTGGAGCTCAGCTGTCAGCAGAAAAGGAGCCTTCTCTGTGTTACAAATCTGCTTAATAATGGAAGCATGACCCCAGAGTCTAGTTATGACTGCATGGCCTTGCTTTATATACATTTGTTGCACTAAAAAAGACAATGTAGTGAATTTACTTGATTCAAATGATGGAAAAATTTACAATATTTTACAATGTAACATTATAAAAATATATATCACAACAATGCCAAATGTAAGTACATTGAAAAACAAAACTTTGTTGATTTAACATACGTTATTCATTTGAGAATGAAGCACAAATTCTGTGCATCACCACTGTGTTTCCAACACTTCATGAGAAAGCTTCTATGCCAGAGGTGCACAATCCTGGACTTGGAGATCCACCACTCTGAAGAGTTCAGATCCAGCACACCTGGTTCTAATATTCAGAAGGCCTTCATTGCCTGTTTCAGGTTTGTTAGATTAAACTTGGAGCTAAACTCTGTAAGGTGGTAGACCTCCAGGACCAGGATTGAGCACCCCTGTTTTAGGCCATGGCACCCTCATGGAAGCAGTGCTTTAGTGGTAGGAACATATTCTGTGTCCATTCAGGAACGTTAATGAATATGCTGGGCAATAAAACCGATTGTACCAACTGATTGCATTAATATTGAACTGGCTGATGTGTTACACAAATACTGTTATCACATTATGAGATAAGAAGGCTATGGGACTACTTGAATATCATAGCATAGCTTTCAATCAAACTTAGTAATGGCTTTTTTAGAATCCTGAATTCCCAAATGTGGGTTTAAGTCATAATGTGGGAAGAGGGAAGGATTTTAAGATGAGGGTGCTGAAACTTTGAGCAGCGTACGTGTGACCTACACAATGATGTCCCAGTGAACGATATGGAAAGTTTGTTTTTCCATTTGAGTTGGATGGACAATTTACATCATACAAATCACTTTATAATGATGAAGTCCTGTAATGTGGCAAGAGACGACAAAAAAGCTTGACACAAGTAACTGATACTGCAACCGCTAATGTATATCTTGCTTTCTCTGGTTCCGGAGAAATTCTTGCAAATGAGCTGAGCGGCAACCAATCATATTGTTGATACGTGACCGGTAAATGAATGTGTCATGCCTCGAGTTAAGCTACGTGCTTTGGGTGTATATCAAGTGAGAAACAAGAATGAAAAAATGAATTAAATAAATTTTAAAAATTAACAAAACACTTTGATTTAAATTTCTCAGGCCACTTCAGGGCACAAAACAAGCCTATAACTCTCCATGAGTTTACTTTGGAAACCAAACCCTGCTTTTTCATCGCTGACATCCAGTGAGACCAAAAGTGGCCGCATGTTCCAACCAATGAGCGTATATATCATATATACATTCAATTGCAAACTTTGGAAACCATTCATTCAATTAATATGTTTTGTTTATTTTCTACATAAAAATAGATTAACACATCTTCTACACAGAACAAATGCAAACATGACATTCATGAAAATAAGTGCACAATTTCTATTTATTTTATTGTTTGTTTCATTTATTTTACTGTTTAGTTTTATCAAATAAATGACATCAATCTAAACTGTGCCATAACTTTTGCACATGCCACATTTTTCTGCAAAGCATTTAATGCGTCTAAAGACCATGACATGAAATGGTTACGGCTATGCAGAGTGATACCTTAGAAGTTTTACAACAGCTTTCTTTAAAGTCCATTCATGGCAAAGAGGAACAAGGAGGGCGCTGTGAGGCAAAAAAGTCCCCAAAGAATATGTATATTTTTCAGATTTCCATGTTTTACCATGATTAGCATTGCATCTAAAAGTTAGAAGACGTGTAGCTTCACTGGTTGTTTTGGAAGTCAAAATGTGTCTTTTTTTGTAGACATCGTGATCCCTGGGTTCTATCACCACCACTGTAAAGAATTCTGATTCCGTAAAGATCCAGAATGGAACATTTCACATCAAACCACTCTCACTTTGTTTTTGGAATAACTGAAAAATCAGTGGAATTCCCCTTTTACATGAAGAGATAATTGTCAAATTGCTGTTGACGAGATTTCTTCACGCAGGCCTAATGAACAAGTCATTTTCGGTAAAGCTACAGATCAGTTCTGACAGCTTTGCTCCGTCATGTCCCAGCAGGACAGAGTGAAAGGGGCTGAGGATGTTTACTTTAGGCCGCTCCGCGGAGCCTGCGAATCAGAATCGCAGAATTATTTGTTCCCAGAGATGCGCTCGCAGATTATAAGCGAGCAAATCCTTTCAGATTAGAGAAATCATCGTTAGGAAATGATGCTGTGGTGGACCCATTCAGGCCTGGCACCTTTTTTTCTTTGCTTTCTGTTTTTTGTAATAATCCTGGATTATGACAGGCGGTGCTGCAGACGTTCGGGACGTTTTCAAACCTACGTCACAGCCTGCTGTGCAGATGTACAGTACGCATTGTGCGGCTGACACCTGCATTGTAAACAAAGCAAACGTTTGTAAAAGTAGCTTCTTTCAGCGCTCGCTTTGACACATGAGTCAAATGGTATTGTGTTAAAATACAAGAGTAAATCATTCAACAGGTCGAGTGTGCGTACATGCATGACCGCTATGGGACTGGGTGCTATTGTTTTCCAGCAACCCTTTGACACACTGTGAATTTGGACATGGAGGGATTGCTATACCAGGAATAAGAGAGAGAAATGTACAAAAAAGACAAAGACACATTATGTGTCACTTTCTCTCCTCCTCTCTGCCTCTTTTTACCCCCCCCCTACCCCCCCACCCCTTTTCAAAAGGCTGTGCAATCGCTCAGGGGAGATTTCAAGAGCAGGGGTCCGCTGTCCTTGCTGACAACATCTCCTCTGACGTCAATGGCATTCTTCTCGTGTTTAGTGCGACACCAGAGGCCAGCCCCTCAGAGGCTGCTCCGGCTGAGCACAGGGCCGGGCTGCACCTAAACTCTGGACCGGACTGTCAGAGAGAGAGAATAATATCTGGAACAGGAGCACCATCATCCACATATATAGCTGCTTTTAGAAGCCAAAAATCCCATTTTCAAGTTTTCCTCTTACCCTAAATGTTGCTGATCAGCGAAGACATGTTTGGGGTCCAAACATTTGCTTCTTTGCTACAATGCTAAAGTAGTATTCTGGAAGCTTATGTACACCAAACTGCATGCCTACATCATTCCAACTGCCTCAAACCTCAAAAAGATCTTCATGCGTTTTCTAACATGGTAAGATATACTATTACCTATACAACTGATCTATAAAAGTGGACAAAAATAATAAGTAAAATTAATCAAAATTCAAGCAAAATTCTATGTTATCTACTTTTGTCCATTTTGTATAGACAAGACTATGTCATACAGACAAATGAGCCATACATAAGTACTTTATTACTATCCTTAAGTATTATTTTGTAATTGGTCTCACTTTAGAGCAAGGCTATTCTTATAAAGGTTGATAAATGGTTTAATTTTTTTTCATTAATGAATATTATTAGGTAATTAACACTTTTAAACTCATTAATAAACATTTATAACACATTAATAAATGGGGCAAATGTGACCTGTTATATCTGAAGACTCTACATATCTGATGAAGCTGATGGGTTAAATGTTGGCTGATGGAGAAGATAAAGATAAATAACCAGAAAGATCTAAAGTTAAGTATAAGTGAAAGTGGGCTCACTATTTCGCAGACAACGGGTCCTTTTTCCTCTTTTTATTTATTGTAACTGCTTATTACTGATTTTAAGGTGTTTATGAACTAATTAATAAGCATCAACAAAATGATAATAATACATTTATTTTAAACCATTCATAAACACTTTATTCTAAAGTGGTACCCTAAAGTTATTAAGTTTACTTCAATTATAAAAAAATTCTGAATCTTTTTGCGTTTTATTTTAAGATATTTCAGCATTTTTAAATGTACTTTTTGACTTTCACCCAAGTATATTTTTAGTTTCATACTTCCACTTTGCATACAGTGCCATAAGCCAGTGATGAACTGTGACTACTAGTGATAATGCTCATTCCTGCTAGGCCCCTATGGGATTCTAGTAGTGTGTTCTATGTTTTCTCTGAAGCTTGTAAAATACATATCACATATATTTTACAATGTATGTCACAGTGTTACAATGACTCAGTAAAGAGCCCTGACACAGAGCTGCCATTACTGAGCCCTGACACAGAGCTGTCATTACTGTTATCCATTTCTAACAACTGACTGAAACCTGGTTAGACTTTGGCTCGTTTTGCAGTCAGTGATATGTCTAGAACTACCAGAAGGCCTGGACTAACATTTCTTCTCAGGAAATTAGTCCCACCCTTTGTAAATCAAAACAAGAAGCCTTCAGGACAGCTTCTAAAGGCCTAACCAATAGGAAAACTCGCCTGGTTGTATCTACCTAGATCCCATGTCCAAACAATAAAAAATAAAAAAATAAAAAACTCTAATTGGACAATTTCCATTGGCCGTTTCAAGAAACACAATGCTAACTGGTATAAGCGTGTTAGCTATATCATCCTTGTACCTCCAAGTGCAAAACAGACACCAAACATGTTTTGGTTGATGAGGAACATTGTGAATATTTCATTTTTCATTTAACTGGGTTGGTATCCAGAGCACTGGGTGGATGGCATGTCCTCATACCCTCCCACAGCACAATGGGTGGCAGACATATCAATAAATACCAGGACAGAGCTCACACCTAACGCCTAAAGTGCCACGTCTGAAACCGGCTTCTCCATGTCCCTGGAGGACGCTGATGACGTCATCCTCCCGAGTCTAATCTCTCGCCCTTCCCCTCTTCTCTCCCTTTCCCTGCCGTCCCCAGATCTCACCAGATGCTTATTGCGGGCCGCCATTCCCAACGCTGTGTTGCCAGGCAACCAGGTCCGGTTAGAAAGCAAGGGGGCAAAAAACCTTGCTATTTTTAGCAGGCGCTATTTATGGCATGGTCTATAATAAAACCAATCAATGATTATTGGCAGGTGCCAGTGAGAAATGCTGAGCAGAGATTGAGCGATGGGGGGTGAACGGGTGTGAACGGCACCATTTTTCAGACGGCTGTGGTTAGATTTGCTAAATGTGAAATATGACACAAGGGCGACCGGCTGCTGAGCAGCAGAGGTCCTTATCAAGGCAGGCTTTTGTAGTTTTGCATGAATTTTCAAGAACACTCAGCTCAGCAACAGGAAAGAAATGGTACATGTGGACAGGCTATGTTATCTTTTCAGACAGTGGCTGTTTGAGAGGGAAGAAGGAAGCAGAGATCGTCTTTGACTGACAGGCTCGTCTCGTGAGTCGTGGCGAGATGCTGACATACGTTTTAGCACGCTGATAACCTGTCTTTGGCTGAGGAGGAAAGTGAGATAGCATCGCTGTGTACATTACAGCTTCAAAATATGAACAAAATGCCATATTGCGAATATGTTGCTATATATTGCAACTGCGATATGATCAGCCTGCAGTAGTTATGACTGAAATCATTTACAATTGAAGTTGAAGTTTTACCATCATTTACCATCATTGAAGTTATTAAAATTACCAACAGCACCCACAGAAACTCATTTATAAAGTTGTTCAGGGAGATTTATTAACTTTTTTGCAGATTACAGGGTTTTCGGTACAAGTATGGCGGTATAACAGTATATCAGTGACCCAGGGCCAGATGGGGAACTTCTACACAACACTGACATAACCATGCCATAAACATGTCATGGCAGATATGGTTTGCTGTCGGGAGTTGTAATAATGTCTGTTTGTTGATTTTAAAAATAAGTACACATTCTCTACAGAGAACACACTTCTGTACATTTTAAAGCACAATTACTGTTTATTTGTGTTTTTGACATATTGGAAAAAAAAATAAAATATGGCCTGTGTAAACATTATGGCACTCTTTCTATTGAATGTTTTAGCTCTAATATGCTAAAACATGTTCTAATATTAGAAGATGTGTTAACTTATTTTTTTTTTTACATAGAAAATCAACATGACGTGAATTTGCATACAACTGTACTAAACACCTTAGATTTTGTTATTTAAGAAAATCTGTAAAGCATTTTTTTATAAAATAATGATAAGCACGAGTGATGTACAGTGATGTGGCTATGCTCAGTGATGACCAGAAGGTAATCTCATTTGTTTGAGAAATTGAGAAGACAGGCTCTCTGTCTCTCTCTAAGGGTGTAAAGTTGGAATGACAGGGTGCCCCAGAGAAAAGAGATACAGATCACATGACCTCTCACAAAAGGGACCCAGAAAACTGTCCATTAGTATTAGATCCCCTTTAGCCACTTCCATTTGTAGAAATTCAGAGTCTGAAAATGTTTGTGAAGTGGTCTCATGTAGTGATGTTTGTAAGATTTATGCATTTGAAACAGAGAAAGTTAAAGAAGAAAAGAAGATGTTTAAAGAGGTATATACAGTTCATCCTCTAAACAAAAGAGAACTAAAATGGCAGTCTTTCTACATCAGCTGTAACTCACAGAATAAATATCTAGTCATATTCACACAAAGAACATCACCAGTGTTTATACAAAAGCAGAAAAAAGCAGAAAGGGTCTCACCTGTGAAGGAGGCTTTTGTGAGAGGTGGTTGGTTACACATTGGGGACCGTCTGCAAAATGACCACAATATGAGAGGATAAGAGGTTTGATATACCAAATACGTTTTGTTACCAAATACAGTAAACACAAATGATATCTGTACTATAAACTAGCAGAAGCTCGTGCAGTTCAGTGCAGTTCCTTCACCTATTCATACTTATAGATGGGCTAAGTATGATGGTGCAGCATGTATTTCAGCAGAGTTTTGCAACTGCACTCACTTATTTGAGGTTCTGTCTTGCTGCAAGTTGGTTAATGCCGCAAAGTTGTTTCTTACTGTTCTCAAACTGGCCAGTACCTAGAAAACAAGAAATAAAAAAAATCAGAAACCATAAACTGGGGGTGGAAATATTTATTCTATGGGATGTAAACATGTAAGATCAATTTCAATTTAATTGTCCTTCATTAAATTGGTTTATCTAAACTCTAAATGGTCCAAAACCATATTATCTCATTTATTAATTATGTATGTATTAATTATTGCTCTGATAATTGTGCTTCTACCATTCAAATGCAGGTTGTGGACCAGTTTATTATAGAATAAAAGCAACAATTCCAAAAAAGTTTCATTAAACAAGGCAGTAGTTTCTCAAAAAATCAGAAATTTGGTAGAATTCCTGGAATTCCAAGGTTATAAATAGCAAATTGGTTCTCAATATGAAACACAACACTTACAGTGTGCTACAGCTAAGTGAAGCTACAAACATTACATCATCTGCTTTGTTATTGCTGATGCAATGCTGGAAATAGTTCTGAAGCAGCTATTGGCACTAACCTGGGCAAACGGCGTGACAATCAGGTCGTCCCCATGACTGGAAGAGAGTGGACACATGCAGTGAATCAGCAGTTGAGGCGGACAGGCACAGTTTCAGCTCTGTTATGCTATGCTGTGAGGAGCGTAATGATGTTCCTCACATGTGCACTATAGCTACATGTTTGAAATGTGGCATGCATTTTGTCTCCACAAAAGAACCATATCGTAAAAAAGGGCAAGAGGAGATTGTCCACTATGTGGACAAGAAATCAGACCACACAAAGGGAGAAGAAACGTGAAATCAGTTTTGACTTTTCCGAGGGGGTCGTGATATGGTTTGTCTGTGTGACAAGGGCAGCAAAGGTGAGAAGGGGGCATGGCACGCTGGTCAGGCATTTCAGAACGTTAATGCTTTGAATGCTGGTGAATGTTAACTAGTAGGATGTGGAGGCAGGTCCATCACTGGATGGATGAACAAAGGCATTCATTTGCACTTAAGCTGAAGCTGTTTCAGTGATAGCCATCAATACTGCCATCATCAATATTGTCATTTCATGGCAGTAGAGGCATGACCACGATTTAATTAGACTGCAGTTCTTAAGGAAACAACGTAATCCATCATGAAATCACGATTTAGAAAATACACTGAATGCACACAAGTGACTGAAGGAACCACAGTTTCCAGTCAAAATGGTCATTAAACCATTACATTATTCATTTTCTGACATTAGGAAAAGGCAGAAAGTGCCTACAGTTTGCCTTCATTACAGCTTCCATGCTTCCATACTTTCGAAGAAATCTGCAGGGATAGTTTTCCACACTTCCAAAAGTTCTCAAGATCTCACGATCCAAGTAATCCCAAGCACGTTCAGTGATGCTGAGGTCTGGACTCCGGGGTGGTCAGCTCATTGTTCTGAGAACACCAGCAGCTTCTTCATTTAATTTACAAATTTCCTTTTCTCAGTAACAGCATCTTGACAGCTACACATACTTTCAGACCCATAGCGTTGAGTTGCCTTCTAACAGTGGAAGGATGGACAGAAACACCTGTGGATTTGTTCAAAACTGAAGCCGTATTGAAGTTTGATTTTCTCTTGTGTCTCAAAGATGAAAGCTTTACGCACTGTTTATTCAATGGTGACAGTTTTGGTGGTTTACCAGATCCTGCATGGTTGGTAGGAATCCCATTTTCTCTGTATCTGTTATCTTTTCATATATTTTAAATATCTCTGGAATGAATCATTTGTACTTAATGGCCATTTTGACTGGAAATTTAAAAACTGGTGTGTGGTCTCTGACATTTGCACAGTACTGTATACACAATATTAAATACAGACAATAAAAACAATACACTACTTGCCTGAAAATAGTCCCAACAGGCCAATGAGCACATACTTTAATATCACTATGATCAATTACATTGGATTCTAACACTCCCAGATCAATGCAATGAATCACCACCTTCAGATCAGTGCATCAGTGCATTTCTACACCCCTACAACTGCAGTAAGGTGCCTTTTGCTTGTAGACAGACTGTAAATTAAAGGATATGTTGATCACAGGGAGCACCGTGTACTTTAACAGGGTTACTCCGAACGTGTTGCTTCAGTGGCCCTCCGTCCTGGCACAGCTCAGAGCGTTCCTAACACGGACCCATGCCGGACAGGTTTACACCCGCAAAGGTCAGGGCTAAATCCATCTGCTAACAAGTCCACAAAGAACAACATATTCCCTGACGCCTTCTGCCCCTTCATTCTTCTACCACGTCATCCCCTCTTTCTTCACCGTGTCCTTCTCGCCTCGCCTGCCGTTTGATCTGGACTTATTTCTGGTTTGTAAGTACCTAAACATACAGTGCTGAAATGCATTTCAAATATGACATTCATACAAAATGTGTACATAAACCAAACTTTACATCCTTGTCTTTCTCCAAAACGTTTTCAACTTAATCTTTTATGCAATATGTGAAATGTGAAAACACAACTGCAACTACTTGTCAAACAGTGCAAGACAAAGACATATAAAAGATCGAGTTTCAAAACGAAAGTCTACAGCACGTGTTCCAGCAGTCCACAAAAAAAAGCTGAGTTAAAACCGCTGTTAGGGCTGCACGATAAAGGCAAAATATTAGTGTTGCAATTACACTGCTACATATTGTGACTACAACACCTAGTGAGTCAATAATGTGACATGAATAAATAATTGGCCTGCATTATATTCACCAAAATATTTTATGTGAAACCTTTACTTTATTAGGACACCCACACAAACACTCATCCATAACTGTGATTGGTCAAGATTAGGGATGCACAGTGACAATCAATTCAATAAAAAAATGATATTTGATGTTAATTATTGCACTGTAATTATTGTATTATGTTATCCCAAGAGAAATGAAGGTTACAACGTATAAAAGAATTGGGAGAAGTACATGAAAAATATCGGATATTGGCACCAGCCCATGATTCCCATAATGGTGCATCCCAACCCCTAGCCAAGATGGTTACAGAACACAGTAAAAACGTGACTGGTTAGAGAACTTTGCATACTGCAGCCTTCTGCGTTATCAGCATTGCTAAGGCAAATATCGCAATAACCATTAACAAACAATACATTGTGCGGCCCTACAGCCCTTCCATATGTTACAAGTCTTCCCTCTCGGGTTCAGTAACAACATCTGCATTCTCCAACAGGGTTCTCACATTAATATAGGAATCTATAGCTTTTATAAAGCCCAACGTTTGTAATGAACAACTCAAGTCAGGAAGCATGCACTGGAGGTGGGTCGTGCCGTGAGCCGAGCCGGTCATCAGCACGACTATAGAGGAGGGGAGCAGCCGGTCAGCAGCTGTTGTTAGTGGAGGGAGCAGAGGAAGAGGTGCGGGGGGGTGGGGCGTTCAGCTGGGATTTAGCATGAAGCAGTGGGTATCTGGACAGCCCTAAAGGCAACTGGTCATAGCCTACCCTCTCCGTAGGTCATTGGGCTCACTGAAGAAACGGCTTATGATGCGCATGGCCGGCGTCTGCTGTCAGTGTGCAGTGTAGACAGTGCAGAGCTCACTACGAGTCGTGCAATTTGACCTAGTCAAGTGTGCCTGGCTCTCTATGCGCGTGTGTGACTGATTCACTCAGCACCGTGTCTTCGCGCGCTGCAGAGGGAAAAGGTCGTCAGAAGGAGCGTGCAGCGTATCACGCGCTCCTACCATGCTCCGCGGCTACGGAATGTGTCACAAATAAACTACTCTAAACATAGCTCAAGGCCACTGCTTAATCGTGTATGAACAATCCAACGCCGGCTAACAATAATCACAGCAAAAACACTACTTATGTCGAGTGATCAGCTGCACGTCAAAAGTTTGGGGACGTCCAACTTTTCAAATTATTTTAAAATGCGTTTTCTTTGTCAGCGTGCATTAACATATTAACAGCAATGTGAATCAGAAAACCATAACTTATCTCGATGTATTTTTGAAGTGAAGCACAGTATCAGGTATCGCTGAGCTAGCTGAGTGTTTTCTCTCAGTGACAGGTGAGGGGTGGTGGGAGGGTAGAAGTAAAACATGATAATATTGGTTGATATTATATTCCCCACCTGCCGGTGCACATTGATGTAATCAAAAATCCGAAGTTGTTTTTTGAGACTGGTCATTATATTTTGAGCAAAATCTGCAAAAAGCCTGTAATTTTGTCAATAAAATGGTAGAGCATGATGAATGCCTAAAGGAACTGTTGTTCTAAACATGCCTACTTCCATCCTACGGCAGTGCCAGAGTGCTCCCTAGAGTGAAAATTTCTAGGTTAAAGACTACTAAAACTTCTTAGGACACATGTTGAACGTAGAAGGAGCTTTTGAAAAACTACAACTTCTCTGGGGTGGATTTTTGAGGGTGGGCTGTTCGAAATGCTAATGCTAGCTTGTATTATTTGTCTGTAGATCAGTGGCTATGCTAGCAGTGAAGACTGGTTGACACCACAAGAGTTCCCAATGGCTGAATGATGCATATGTACAATGCATGCTGAGTAGTGTAGTGAGAGTACATCGATGAGCAAAAACATGAAAGAGGGAATGGCCCTCTAATACACAGATTTATGAAGCTGTTCCTAAACTTTGCATGTATATGTTCCTTCTTAACTAATAAAAAGTAACAAAACATAAGTTTCAAAAGCAGGAGCATGAGCAGTGTTAAGTGTTCTAATCTGTGAAATCTTGAATTGCTGCATCACATCTGTATGTGTAGAACAACAACAGTGAGAGACTTGCGGAAAAGGAGGGCAGATCAGAGCATCCTGTCGACGATGAACTCTGTGTGAACTTCACCTAGCTGACGTGCTGTGTATGCGTGTGTGTGTTCACGGCCTGGGGGCTGCTGCTGACTATGTTCCAGAGAGCAGCGAGCTAAGCTAAGTACTGCAAGTGGGCCATTTATCAGTGCTTTGCCCCATGCGCAAAGACAGAGGCTGCCAGGGCTTTCAGCGGGGCTCAGGTGATGGCCACCAGCTTCTGAGCCCCATTAAAACACTCAGACCACTTACATATGAACAGTCATGGCCCATGCCAATATAGTTACTTATGAACAAAATTCAGACAAATACAGTAGTATAAACGCAGCATAGGTTTATACACAACTACCAGCCACAACTACACCTCGCTCTAAACCAATTAATGGAATACTCTTGAGGAAAATCAAGTTTACACAATTTACTCCAAATGTAGTTGAAAGATGAAGTGAAAAAAATATGTTTTAAAAGCACAGACAAATGTTAGGCTTCAGAATTGCTGCCACTATTGTTTCACTTCTGTCAATTTGTATAGATAAAAATAAAACCTCAGGGCCTAATGATTTCTGTAAAATGTCTGCATTTTGAGTTCATTTGTATTTTAAATAATTATTATTTATTATGTTTTGTTTTAAATTCTTTCAATGCCCAATGGAAAATAAATATAATTAGGAATTGACAGTATAATCGACCAAATACGTTTTGATTTATAATTTCCCCAAACTGCGATTCCAGCAGAAATTATCACTATTATAGAGGAGTTTTTTCCTCTTCTTTGAC